TGGTTGCAGCTGTCATTGTTGTTTGGCGGGCCCAGGCTGGATTTGAACCCGCCACCTTAGGTGTATGTGGCTGGCGCCTTAGCCACTTGAGCCACAGACACCGAGTCTAGTTTTATTTTTCATTGACAAATAATAATTACATATATTTATGAGGCACAATGTGATGTTTTTATATATGTTTATAATGTGGAATGATTCAATCAGGCAAATTAACAAATCCATCACCTCACACACTTAACTTTTTTTTGTAGTGAAACAATAAAGTCTACTTTTAGCAAATTTTGAAATATACAATGCATATTATTATAGTCACTATTCTACACAAGAGATTCCCTAAAGCTTTTTCCTCTTGTCTGAAACTTGATATCCTTTGAATAGAAGCTCCCTTTCCCTATCTGCCTCCCTCTTCACTGTGGTTTTGTTTCATATTTCCCTAATAGTGAATGATGTTGAGCATCCTTTTTGGCCGTTTATCTATCTTTTTTGAAGTTATGCAGATCCTTTGCCCGTTTTATTTAATAAACTTTATTTTAGGACAGCCACGGTAACTTACATCTGCATAACCACCTAATCCTAGCACTTTGGGAGGCCAAGGCAAGAAGACTGCTAGAACTCAGGAGTTCAAGACTAGCCTGTACAAGGGTGAGACCCCGTCTTCACAAAAAATAGAAAACTTTGCCATGTGTGATGGTATATGCCTATAGTTCCAGCTACTAGGAAGGCTGAGGCAGGAGGATCACTTGAGCCCAGAATTCTGAAGTTGCAAGGATCTATGATGATGCCACTGCACTATACCAGCATGACAGAGCAAGACCCTGTCTTAAAAACAAACAAACAAATCTGCTTTATTTTATAGAATCGTTTTAGATTTACAGAAAAATAGCAAAGATACTACATAGTATACAGAATTCCCATTATCCTGTACTTAGTTTCCGCTATTGTTGTTGAGACAGGGTCTTGCTGTATCACTCAGGCTATAATTCAATGGTACAATCACAGTTCACTGAACTTTAAACTCTTAGGCTCAAGCAATCCTCCTGCCTTAGCATCCCAAGCTGCACCACCACACTCAGCTAAGTTAAAAAAAATTTTTTTTGTTGATGCAGGGTCTCACTATGTTACCCAGGCTGGTCTTAAACTCCTGGCCTCAAGCAATTCTCCCTTGGCTTCTCAAAGTGCTGGGATTATGTGTGAGCCACTGTGTCTGACCTCCCCCATTATTAACACCTTACATTGGTATGATAAATGTTAACATGACTAAATGTCAAAACATATTCCTTATTATTATCCACGTTAGTCAGATTTGCTTAGTTTTTACCTAATGTTCTTTCTCTATTTCATGATCCTATCCAGGATACCATATTCCATTTACTCTTTGCCTTTAAGCTTATCTTGGCTGTGACTATTTCTCAGGTTTTCCCTGTTTTTGATAACCTTGACAGTTTTTCAGGTCAGGTACATTGTAGAATACTGAACAGGTATGATATAGGATGCTGCTCAATTGGGATCTGTGAATTTTCTCATCAGTAGACTAAAGTTATGGATTTTTTGAAAACCAGAGACAAAAGTGTTATTTTCATCACATACTATCAAGGATGTATATTATCAACATGACTTACAACTATTGATACTAAACTTCACTACTGGCTGAGTGTTTACCAGCCTCCTAACGACAAAGTTATGTAACTACACATTACACAGTATTCTCTCTTTTTAAGGGCAGAATATTTATAGAATTTATTTGGAATGCCGTATAGGAGACTTGTCTCTCTTCTCCATTTATTTATTCAATAATTTACTCTTACCTATATGGATTTATGGGTGTTTATTATCCTTGACTTGTTTCTAATCTTAGAGGGAATGTATATAGTCTTTCACTATTAAGTATGGGTTTTTCATACATGTCCTTTCATCAGACTGAAGAAGCTTTCTGGTTTATTTGTTCCTAGTTTCTTAAGTGTTCTTATCACAAAAGGGTGTTGGATTTTGCCAAATGCCTTTTCTGTGTCTACTGAAATGATCAGGCTTATGTATTTTTAGAAGCTCTACTGATACGGTAGCATACTAATTGATTTTCAGATGTTAAACCAACCTCGCATTCCTAGGACAAGTCTCACTTGGTAATGGTATATTTTTTAATTCAATTTTTTTATTGGAAAAAAATATATAACACAAAATTTACCATTTTAAAACCATTTTTAGGTGTATAATACATTAAGTATGTTCACATTGTTGTGTAGCCATCACCACTATTTCCAGAACTTTTCCAGCATTCCAAATAATAATTCTATACCCATTAAATAGTAACTTCTCATTCTCTCCTCTCAGACACTGGTAACCTTTCTCTTACTTTTCTATCTCTATGAATTTGCCTATTCTAGATGTTTCATATACGTGATATAACACTTGTCCTTTTGTATCATTTATATCTCAGCGTAATGTTTTCAAGGTTCATCAATGGGGTATCATGTATCAGAATTCCATTTCTACTTATAGCTGAATAACATTCAGTTATACTATATTTTGTGTATCCATTCACCCACTGATGGACATTCGGGTTGCTTTCACTCTTTGGCTATGTGAATAATGCTGCTTGACTATGGGTATACAAACGCTTCTTTATCACCCTGCTTTCAATTCTCTTAGGTACATTCACACATAGAGTAATTCTATTTTTAAATTTCAAAGAGCTGCCATATTACTTTCTATAGTGGCTATATCATCTGACAGTCCTATTAACAGTGCATAAGAATTTCAATTTCTGGCCGGGTGCCAGTGGCTCATACCTGTAATCCCAGCACTTTGTTAGGCCAAGATGGGGGGATTACTTAAGGCCAGAAGTTGAAGACCAGCCTGGGCAACCAAGGGAGACCTCATTTCTACAGAACATGAAAAAATTAGCTGGGTGTGGTAGCTTCCACCTATAGCCCCAGCTACTTGAGAAGTAGAGGAAGCAAAATTGCTTAAGCCCAGAAATTTGAGACTATAGTGAGCTATGAACATGTTACTGCATTCTAGCCTGGGTAACAGCAAAAACCTGTCTCAAGAAGGGGGAAAAGAAAAAACCAAAAGAGCTCCAATATGTTCACATTTTTCTCAATACTTGTTATTTTGTTTTGTTTCTTTTGAGACAGAGTCTCACTCTATCGCCTTAGGTTTGAGTACTTTAGCATCATAGCTCACAGCAACCTCAAACTCTTAGGCTCAAATGATCCTCTTGTCTCAGCCTCCCAAGTAGCTGAGACTACAGGTACCCACCACAACACCTGGCTAGTTTTTCTGTTTTTAACAGAGATGCAGTCTCACTTTGCTCAGGCTAGTCTTGGAACTCCTGAGCTCAGGCCACCCACCTGCCTTAGCCTCCCAGAGTGCTAGGATCACAAGTATGAGCCATGGCACCCACCCATATTCTGTTTTGATTATAGCTATACTGGTGGGTGTGAAGTGGGTCTCATTGTGGTTTTGAGTAGCATTTCCTTAATGATTAGTGATGTCAAGAAGTTTTCCATGTGCTTGTTAACTGTTTATATACCTTCTTTTAAAAATGTCTATTCAAGTTCTTAAACGGTTTTTTAGTTTTTTATTTTAGTGTTGAGTTACAAGATTTCATTATATATTCTATTACTCCCTCAGATACATGATTTATAATTATTTTCTCTTATTGTGTATATCCTTTGATGCAAAATTGTTTTCAATCCTTTTTTTTTTTGAGACAAGAGTCTCACTCTGTTGCCCAGGCTAGAGCATCATGGTATTGGCCTAGCTCACAGCAATCTTGAACTTCTGGGTTTAAGGGTTTCAAATTATCCTCCTGCCTGAGCCTCCTGAGTAGCTGGGACTACATATGCCTGCCACAATACTGTGCTAATTTTTTCTATTTTTAGTAGAGATGGGGTATCATGATGTTGTTCAGGCTGGTCTCAAACTCCTGAGCTCAAGCAATCCTCTTGCCTTGGCCTTTCAGAGTGTTAGGATTACAGGTGTGAGGCACTATACACACCCTCAATCTCTTAATAGTATCTTTTGATAAACAGAAGTTTTAATTTATTATTAAAAAGCCTGAATAGGGAAGTTACTATTTTTTGATAAATTCCAATTTATCTACTTTTTTTTTTTTTTTTTGAGACAGAGTCTCACTATGTTGCCCTCAGTAGAATGCCATGGTGTTACAGCTCACAGCAACCTCAAACTTTTGAGCTTAAGGGATTCTCTTGCCTCAGCCTCCCAAGTAGCTGGGACTATAGGTGCCTGCTATTTTCCTGTTGCAGCTATCATTGTTGTTTAACAGTTCCGGGACAGGCTTGAACCCATCAGCCTTGGTGTATGTGGCTAGCACTCTACTCACTGAGCTATGGGCGCTGAGCCAATATATACATATTTTAGAAAAAGTCCTATGCAGCTGCCCTTAGTAGAGTGCTGTAACATTGTAGCTTACAGCAACCTCAAATACTTCAGCTCAGGAGATCCTCTTGCCTCAGACTCCCAGGTATCTGGGACTACAGGTGCCTACCACAATACCCATCTATTTTTAGAGACAGGGACTTGCTTTTGCTCAGGCTGGTCTTCAACTCCTGAGCCCAAGCAATTTACCTGCCTCAGCCTTCGAGAGTGCTAGGATTACAGATGGGAGCAACTCACCTCACCAGAAGATAGTTTAACTATTTAATTTAGTTTAGGTCTTTGATACATTTTGAGTTAATTTTTGCATATAAGGTAAGGTTACAATTCACTCTTTCGCATGTGGATATCCAATTTTCCCAGCACCAGTTGTTGAAAAGACTGAGCTTTTCCCAGTGAATGGTATTGACAGCCTTGTCAAAAATCACATGAATAGGCTGGACATGGTGGCTCATGCCTGTAATTCTAGCACTCTGGGAGGCTGGGTCAGGTGTATTGCCTGAGCTCAGGAGTTTTAAGATCAGCCTGAGCAAGAGTGAGACCCCATCTCTAATAAAAATAGTAAAACTAGCTGGGCATTATGGTGGGCACCTGTAGTCCCAGCTACTCAGGAGGCCTACTCTTTCTAGGGCAACAGAGTGAGATTCTGTCTCAAAAAATAAAAAATCATTTGACTATGTATGTGCAGAATTATTTCTAGGCTGCTTATATTCTAATCCATTGATTTATATGGCTATATCGTGCCAGTACCACACTTTCTTCATTATTGTAGCTTTGTGCTTTGAAATCAGGAAGACTGAGTTCTCCAACTTTTTCTCTTTCAAGATTGTTGTGGCTATTTGAGGTCCCTAAAGATTCTATATGAATTTTACGTTGAATTTTTCTATTTCTTAAAAAAACACAACTGCAATTTTTATAGGACTTGGCCTGACTCTATAGATAGCTTTGGGTATTATCATCTTAATAACACTAAGTTTGTCAATTCATGAATATTTGATGTCTTTCCATTTATTTATATTACTTTCTTTCTGCAATGTTTTATAGTTTTCAGTGTACAAGTCTTTCCCATCATTTGTTAAATTTATTCCTAAGTATTTTGTTCTTTTTCAATATTACTATAAGTGCAACTGTTCTTCAATTTTCTTTCAGTTAGTTCATTGTCAGTGTATAGAAATGCACTGTGAATGATTTCTGTGTGTTTACTTTGCATCCTGCAACTTTGCTTAAACTCATTTACCCAGATGTAATGGTTTTCAAATGGAATCTTTAGGGTTATAATAGTAGCCATTATGTATTAAAATGCCCTGTCCTCAAATTTCATAAAAATTGTGTCAGTTAAGATGTAAAAATGTCTTACCAGTTTGTATTTAATAGAAAAATTATAGTTGAGATATCTCTTTTACAATAGGAAAAAAAAAAGAAAAACTACTTCATCCTTAGATAACTTTATGAAAAAAAAGTAAGCCTTGGTTATTTGCTATTAAAATGTTGTATTTCTGGCTCGTTGCCTGTAGCTCAAGCAGCTAAGGTGCCAGCCACATACACCAGATCTGGCGGGTTTGAATCCAGCCCAGGCCTGCCAAACAACAGTGACAACTACAACCAAAAAAAGCTGGCCATTGTGGCAGGTACCTGTAGTCCCAGCTACTTGGGAGGCCAAGGCAAGAGAATCATTTAGGCCCAGGAGTTGGAGGTTGCTGTGAGCTGTGATGCCACAGCACTCTACCCAGGGCTACAGCTTGAGGCTCTGTCTCAAAAAAAAGTTGTATTTCTATAATTGTTATCTTCAAAGTGCTTAGTTTAAAAAATAGTTCCAAAATATATTGGAATTTTCAAAATAAAAAATAACTATGAAATAAAAAATCAAATATAGGAACAGAATTTTAAAAATCAATTGCAGTTTTTCTGTTCACAAATATTTTGTAGTGCTACTAGTGACATCAAGATGGCCTTATAAATAAAATAAACTTACTTTTTGATTAAGATATTCTAGAAGAGTTCTCTATTTCAAACACACATAGTATCAACTTTCCCTACATTTTAACAATTTACAGGATGTTTAATCTTGAAAATATCAGTGGGCCCACATCTAAAGTTCCATTATATTTATTCAGAAAATGACTCAGGGTAAATACATGTGATTTAAGACTCACACACTGCCAATTAAAAGGAATTACCTACATGAATTGTATCTATCACTTAAAAATCTACCTCCCTTGGCTTTATGAAATATTCTGAGATTACTGATCTATAATTTGAGAGTATCAACATAAAACTTCCAAAGTATTACCTTCAGAATTATTGGAATAATGTTCATACTTAGGTACCTAAGGAAATCTGCCCTGCTCTAAAAACATGGCTCTGAGAAGCTGTGTTCTATGGTTTGTCACCTTTCTCAGCTTTCATTTCAGTTAAGGTAGACTAAGAAAAGCTGCCTGAAGTAGTGTCACCTTTCTTACTGAGTATGACTTATCTCAGGTTTCTCTAGTGATCTGAATAACTATGATTATTAAAAATCTGACCACAAGATGAAACAGATATTACTGTACTAAGACTGAAATACACTGAGCTACTACAATAAATCTCCTAACATATTGAAATAAAGGATTTGCACTGTACATACATAGCAGAATTGAGCCTTTTAAATATAAAGGCAATGTTAGTCAATTTTAATTCAACAGGTTTCTGTAGGGAGGAAACGACACACACACATAGAAGTTAAAACATATTAAATCACCTATCTTACCTGAGCACCCACTAGCTGCAGCAATGCTGAGTTTACGGGGAGGAGCTCAATGTCTGTATTGATAGTGGTCTGGTCAAAAGGGCAAGCCTTGCGATGGAGTTTATTTAGGCACATCTTGCAGACAGTATGGCCACAGCCCAAACTGATGGGCTTTCGAATCGTTTCGTCGAAAGTCTGAGTGCAAATTGGGCAGGAGAGGAAATCCGTCCATTGTGGAGCTTGTACAGGCATTGCTTCTGGAATTACAATTCACTAACACATACACACACAAAAAATCTAAAGCAAAGATTCCACTGGAATCAAAATCTTTGAAAAAAGTTTATCTTTTTTTTTTAAATATCTTCTGTAGATACAGTCAGCACATAGTGTGAAATATAACCTGGAAAACAAAGAAAAAGGAAAAAATTGAGGGTGTCTTCTTTTCCAAGTAAACTGTTCAAAGGAACCACAAGTCCAATCTCACCCTACAAACTTTTACACAACATTTATATCACAGCAATCCATCTTTTTGCACATTCATAGAATTAGAGCCATAAGAAAACATCCAGTACCATCCCTTCATTTTAGAGATGGGGAGAAGTCCCCAGAAAGGTGACACATTCGCCTAAGGAGATACTTGAAACAAGTAATAAAGTTAGATCTAGGGCCTAAGTCTCTCGAGTTAAAGTTTTTTAACGTTAAAAATTTAAACTTTTGGCTCGGCTCCTATAGCTCAACCGGCTAAGGCGCCAGCCATGTACCCCTAAGGTGGCGGGTTCGAATCCCCAGCCCGGACCCGCCAAACAACAATGACGGCTGCAACCAAAAAAAAAATAGCCAGGCGTTGTGGCGGGCGCCTGTGGTCCCAGCTACTTGGGAGGCGGAGGCAAGAGACTCGCTTGAGCCCAG